TGCTAATGGGGGGAGGGTAAGGAGGGGGTGCAGAACACCTCATTTTGTATTTGAGTAAATATGGGAGTTAGGTTCAGTAAATCTCTATTTAGACTTTTTGTTAAATTTAGAATGCCTCACTGCATATACTCCCTCTATAAGTGCTATATGAGTGATAAGGAGGCTTAATTTTTCCCCACAGGTAGGTACCAAATAAACTAAATTATTCTAATTGTTCAGTTCTAATAAGGATCAGAAAAATGCTGGGCTACACAGACTTAAAGTGTTGCATAAACTGACTGTTATCCATCACAGTAACAGCACACAGGATGGGTTTAGCTTGAGTTGGGATTGCTTGGCACAGTTACCTTCATAGCGTTCTGTTATTCTGTTGTTGGAGCATTCATTAAAATACTCGGTGAATTTCAGGAAGAAAAAGTAGGTGCGTGTTGTTTCTTGCATGACACACTTTATAATTGTGCTCTCTGTTAGACCTAGAAAAATATTAAACAGCACAATAGAAAATGAAACTACTCTTCAGATCTGAAGGGGACTCCTGTGTCAGTCATCCTGTCCCATCCTTTGCTTTCTTAAGTACCCACTTACTCAAGGAACACCCAAAATCTCCATTTCAAAATCTTACAAACAGCTGTAAGGTGCAATACCCAAAATGCTGAGAACACCTTAAAACAGGCCATGAATTAATGCATAATCATCATACAACTCCAGATATGAAAACCCTCTTAAAGTGAGTAACAGTGCTAGGTGTAGTATTCTAGACTTAAAATTGGAAAATGTATTTATTTCACTGGAATCGCACAAGGAATGGATTTGAGTCATGGTTGCCCTGAACCTTCAGTTCTTAGCAGAACTATAAATTTTATCCAGACCATCCAATATATGTTATCAGATTTATTATATATATATATTTGGGTTTCTCTTATGCTCTAGACAAGCAGATATTGATGACAGGCACTCTAGAGATACTGATAATAAAAAAAATGCCTACAAAACATGGCATTTTCCTAATAAACTGCCGCATGCTTAAAAGAGATAAATAAAAATAAAGTAAAAAAAACCAAACCTATAAATAAAAAAAAAGTAAAAAATAAATAGCTCATTGTACCACATTGCTTCTAATTCGCCTTTTTATGAAAAAAATCAATTCAATGAAGGTTTAATGAAGGTTCTGGTCCTGGGGATGACCATAAATTGCATCCAGCTGGAGAGCCTGATGGCAATGTGGTGCGGTAGCATCCACAAAATGGCACAAGCTCCATAATAAGGTGAGTTTAGGGGTCCTCAAAATGCTAGCCCCCACTGCCTTGTGGGTATTCCTTGGTTGGAGTAAGGCTAAGGGACACCCCCCTGATAGAAACATGCCCTCGCTGAGGCATTAGGCAGTCAGTAGAATCTCTAATCTGTTGCTCTCTGGCAGAAGCTGCAACTGTTGAGGCACTGAATGCCTGGCCTTTAGACACTATCTCAGGTTTAGAGCAGCCTCTCAGGTTTAGAGCAGCCTCTACTCCTCCATACTCTTGCCTAGGCATATACATTCATGGTCTCATTATGATGGTTGCAGGACTCTGTAAGGGGCATTAGGAACCTGAGGCAGCTACCAAGGTGTCCAAGCAGCCCTATTGAGGGGTGTCCTGCTCATCTGTCTTGAAGAAGGCCCTAGAAAAGGTAGGCCAAAAAAATCCCCATGCCCCAATCCAATCTATCCAGGCCAAAATAAAATAAAGTGACTTGCATGTTGGAATGTTCAGACACTGAGCCCTGGACTCAATTTGGACTCTGATTTATGGAAAACAACACTAACTATGAACTGGTCAGACTTGGAATGAACATTCCTGCATTATCAGAAACTCAGCTCTCAGATACAGGTTCTATTCAAGAGAATGACTTGAGAGAAAACCATGTTCTGGCATGGGAAGCCAGCAGGAGAAAGGAGAGAGCAGGGAGTATGTTTTGCTATTAGAAACAGCTTACTATCTTCCTGTGAAAGCCCAGTTGCTGTATCTAGTCAACTCATGATGATCAGAGTGCACACACAGAATGGCTTCATCACATTGTTTAGTGTCTATGTACCTACCTTTCAAGCTAGATAAGAAAGTTTTCTATCAATAACTCAAAGAAGAGATTCAGAAAACTCACAGAAATTAGACCATAATAATACTCAGCAACTCCAATGCAAGAGTTGAAAGTAATTTTGAAAATTGGATTGGTATTCTGGGCAGACACGGAATTGGTAATATGAATGAAAATGGCCAGTGAGTGTTAGAACTCGACAAGTCAAAATCTATGCGATACCAACACCGACTTCACTGGGAAAATTACAAGACATCATGGAAACATCTAAGATCAGAGCACTTTTACCACTTAAATCTAGTCCTAACCAAGTGCAACCACCTGAAATAAATCTTGAACATGAGGTCTTATCACAGTGCTGATTGTGACACTGATCATGCCTTAGTCTGCTGCAAAGTCAGAATCAATGCCCAAAAGATCCACCATAGCAAAATTACCAGTCATCCTCAGAATAACATCAGTCAAACTAAAGATACAGAAAGATGCAGACTATTTAATGAAGAACCTGTGAAAGCAAGCTTACCTAACAACTCAGCTACCAAGGCTTGGGAAATCTTAAAATGAACATGTACAATGCTGCTGTAACACCATTTGGCAAAAAAAATGTAAGAAAAATGCAGACTGGTTTGAAAAGCACTCTGAAACCCTTCTACCACTGCCTGAGAACAAAAGGGCAGTTTTAACCATCTACAAGAAATCTCCCAACACTCTAACCCTGGAAAATTTGAGAAAGGCTCAGATAGAAATGAAAAAAAGAGGCTAGGAAGTACACCCAAGATATTTGACTGAAACTTGTGATGATATTCAGAAAGCAGCTAAGAAAAGTGATAGTTGCAGAATGTGCAAAGGCATCAGACAAGCAAGTGGTCCAGTCAAGAAGAAAACAGCTCTGCTGGAAGACTTAAACAGAAATGTCATCACTAATAAACAAAAACAACTCAAGTATCGGACTGAAGACTATGGAATACTAGACAGGCAATCTTCGACTTACAACGTTTTAAGTTACAACATTTTGCACTTACAACATTTATAAACTGACACCCTGTTTCAACTTTATGACATCAGTTTCAACTTTACAACGCTTGATCTGATGTGACGCCACACCAGTGAACAAGTTTGTTACATCGCTGATCTCCATGGAGAACATCTGTCCAAACTTCCTCGGACACTTTCTTTGAGAAAGCAGACAAGACTCCAGAAAAACCTGCAGCCAAGACTCCTGAGGAGACTCCAGCCAAGAACCCTTCAAAAAGTCCAACCAAGAGCCTTTCAAAAAGTCCAGCAAAGTCACCTCAAAGAAGTCCTTCCAAATCAATATGATTGGTATTTACAATATAAATACATTAATGTAGCTATAGTACTTATCTATAATTGATCGAGTACAAAATTCTGGGGTATTTTTGGTGAAAACAGGGTATCAGGCCTTGGTTCAGGAATGAATCTCCCATTTATAACATTGTTTCTTATGAGAAAATTGGTTCTGAGTTACAACATGTCAGCTTAAGATGCGGTTTTCAGGAACCAATTGTGTCATAAGTCTGAGGACTGCCTGTATTTGAGTGAGACTGAAATCAAACACGAACAGCTCAAAGGATTACCGGAGTTGGAAGTTATGATAGATTTGGAAAATGTACCTATATTAGAAGATTTTCAGAAAGCCATTAAATTGATCCCTGGGAACAAGGCATCTGGCAACAACTGCTTGCCTGCTGAAACCTACAAAATGCACTGACAGCGAATCACTCTGAAATGTGAAGTTATAGTGCTCTGTTGGAAAGAGGAAGTGGTACTGCAAGATTTCAATGATGCTTAGTTTGTACAATTATACAAAAACAAGGGGGATAGAAGTGACTGTGACAACTATAGAGGTATCTCCTTGTTGAACATTGTCTGGAAAGTTGTCACTTACATTATGCTCCCTTGGCTGCAATCATTGCATTGCATTGCAACCATTGATATGATATTTGTGGTCAAGCAATTGCAAGAGAAGTGTACAGAAAAACAAATACCACTGTACATAGCTATAACTGATCTGATGAAGGTCTTTGATACAGTCAGACAGGGCTTTGTTGCTGTTCTGAAGAAAATGGGTTGTCCCCTCAAACTGTTGAACATCATTTGCTTACTACATTACATCATTACATCAAGGTATGAAGGCAACTGTAGTGTTTGAAAACAAAAAACAAATGCCTTTGACAGCAACAATGGAGTGAAACAGGGGTGTGTCTTAGCACCCATGCTCTTTAACATCTACTTTTCATTCCTGATTTTTCATAAAATGCCCAACACCCACCCCTTAATATAAAAGGAGAACATCAGGTGCCCATCAGATCTCCCCTTCAAAAACAAACACAAGGACAGCAATGATGGCATTTATCTTTGAACCAGTCTAGATGAAGGTTTGTTTAACATCTCAAGGTTTAGAGAGAAAACCAAGGTGAAAGAGCTGGTTCCGAGTGATTTTCTGTTTACAGATGATGTGGCCTTGGTTGCCTTCAGTGAATCTTCCCTGTAAAATCTTGTGAACAGATTTTCTGAGTTATCAAAGAGCTTCAAGATGGCAGTTAGTCTCAAGAAGACTGTGATCATGTACCAAGAGGTGGAAGAACCAACACCTGACATCACTCTGAAGGGTAAATCTTTTGGCATTGCTGACAGCTTTTGTTACTTGGTTTCTATGATCA